CATTTTGCTGGGAGAAGCATTCGAAGCATGGGTGAGTATGAGTTACCCGTCATATGTGCCCAGGTCGATCGGTGAGGTTTGGACCTCGGAGTTCCTGGACTTCCTGAGCGAGAAGGCACATGAGGCTTCGGCACAGGACATGTTGTCGGTTGGTTTCCCCGTTGAAATGCAAGAAGATGAACAGGAGGAGGCAGTCACCTTTGACATGCCGGATGATCCTGATTCGGATTCACAGAGGGATGAAGTGTTCAATCCTGTGTTGAAAGGAAATGCGGAGATGGCGGAATGGGAAGTGCTGGATAGCATAGACATTCCGGATTTGCCAGCCAAGGAGCAAGAAAGGAGAAAGGCCTGGCGGGCGATACCGCAGAAGGTAAGGGTGGCGGTGCGACGCTTGCACAGGCAGTTCGGTCACCCGGCGCCACGAACGTTGGAGAGCTTGTTGAGAAGCGCGAAGATCGCAAAGGTATACATCGAAGCACTCAAACTGCACAGATGCCCAGATTGCGAGAATAGTGCGCCGAAGAAACCTACACACAAGACCATGCTGCCGCACAGGTACAAATTCAATCACACCTTGGGGATAGACTTGTTTGACGTTTCGGATGCCAAGGGTGACAAGTATCTGGTGCAGAACATGTTGTGTTGTGGCACAACGTTTCAGCAGGTAAAGGCCCTAAGAAAAGGGAAGGGGCAAGCTTCAAGTGCAGAATGTTTGAGAGCATTGGATGAACGCTGGTTCGCCTGGGCAGGACATCCGTCAGAGCTGGTGTCGGACCGAGGATTACACAATCGAGGAGTTCTGGCGAAGTACATGTCGGCGAATGGAATCCAAGTGTTTCACGCTCCGTTGCAAACGCCTGAAGCCATTGGACGTGTGGAACGCCATGGAGGGATCATCAAGGCAATGTATAGGAGAGTGTGTAGTGAGACACAACCGGTCGGCATTGATCAGGTGGACCAAGTGCTGACGCAATGTTGCCGGATCAAGAACTCCATGCACAGAGTGGGCGGCTACAGCCCATCGCAATGGGTTCTAGGTACATGCCCGAGAGGAGCACCTAGCTTCATGGATGAAGAAGGTTGGACCGACCTTGGAGCGATTGGGGACAGGATTGATCCCGATTCCATCTTTGCACTTCAGCACAAAGCAAGAATGGAAGCAAAGAAAGCATTCGTAGAACTCGATTGCAGCAAGCGCGTGCAAAGGGCGTTGCTCAGGAACGCGCAGCCGATTTATGAGAACTACGAGGTCGGGGACATCGTGTGTTTTCGCAGAGATTTCATGGGGAAGACCCAATGGAGTCCGGCAAGCAGAGTGATCGGAAAAGAAGGTGACAAGAAGGTTTGGGTGTTGTGTGAAAACATCCCAGTGCTTGTTGATGGGAGGAATCTGAGACCGGCAAACGATGCTGAGGCCCTAGGGAGGTTGATTCTTCATGGACATGACATTGTGCCAGAGGAGATTATCAAAGAACACGGGCAGCAGGCGTTCGAAGACGCGAGTCAGGTCCCAGTTCCCGAAGGTGAAGCCCCTAGTGACCCGGAACCGGAAGAGACTGAGGGATCCGGATTGCCGAGAATCCCGGAACATGGGTTGCTTGAAGATGAGGATGAGCCCATGAGAGCTGCGAGAACACGGGATGCCGAGATCGCAGGCCGAAACGTGAGGCCGCGAGTTGAAAGAACATCTCCTGTTTTGGAGCCAGATCCTGAAAGAGGGACGATTGGTAGTGAACCGCAGTCCAGACGCACGAGTGCACAGTTAGTGGATGATTTGCCCGATTCCATTAGGAGCCACTTTGAACAGATGAGTGGGCAGCAGAGTGCGAGCTCGGAGGACGCAAGCATGACTGCCAATATGGCGTTTGGCCATGTTCATGTGAACAGAGAGAAGTACGTGGCATTCATCGCAGATAGGGTTAGCGAGACAGAGAACGCACAGAGAAACAAGAATGCGGTGCAAGAAAGGTTGCTCGTATATGACGAAGCAAGTGAGGAGGTGCAGCGTGCATTGACAGAGGCTAGAGCGGCCGAATGGGAGAAATTCCAGAAGTTCGGAGCAGCTGTTCCCATTGACGGAGAAGAACTGAGAGGTCTGTTGGATGCAGGTCATGTTGCCATTCCGTCAAGATGGGTCGAGGTTGACAAGAACGATTTCCAGAGAGGTCAGCCTGGATATAAACCTAAGTACAAGAGCCGTTTGGTGATATGCGGAAATTTTGAGGATCGTGAAGGACTTCGAGGTGACGCACCAACTGGTGACGTCGAGGCTCACCACATAGTATGTGCTTGGGCAGCAGCTCATCAGGTGGCGGTGAAGTCCTGTGACATCACCAGCGCGTATTTCCAGGCCCGAGAGTTGGATCGCGTGTTGCTTATGCGACAGCCACGAGGAGGACTTCCGGACGTTTCCCCGACGGCGTATCTACTGGTTAGGAAACCGGTCTATGGCTTGACTGACAGCGGTCGAGGTTTCTGGTTGCAGGTGAGTGCAGATGCAGCGGCATGTGGATTGACATCGAGTAGGATTGTTCCTGCGTTCTATTACCATGTTGCGGATGGCAGAGTAGATGCAGTGATGACCACTCATGTGGATGATTTCCTGTATGCCCACACTGAAACCGGAAAGGTTACGATCGAGAACTTGTTGAGCAAGTTTGTTGTCGGAAGCAGCGAGGAAGGCAATTTCAGGTATTGCGGAAAGCGTATTAGCCAAGAGAAGGACAGCTCGATCAAGATCGACGTGGATGACAACACTAGGAAGCTGAGCATGATCAAGATCGAGATAGGCAGAAAGTTGACCGATGCAGTAAACCCATTGGAACTGTCGCAGTTGAGGTCAGTGGTTGGATCTCTTTCGTGGATTGCCAGACAGGGACGCCCTGATCTTTTGTACAGGACGTCGAGGTTGCAGTCTTTGACCAAGGCAGCCACTGTGGCTACCTTGAAGGAGGCCAACAAGACTGTCGAGCTGGCGTTGGAAGGCATTGGGTCGAGTCTGTATTTCCATGCGGGAAGACTTGACTGGCAAAATGTCGGTATTCTAACAGTCACAGATGCGTCATTTGCAAATGAGGAGAACCATAAGTCACAACAGGGGCGTTTCCATTTCTTGGTGTCCAGTGAACAGGCAAGGGATCAGAATTGCGAGACGTTTGATGTAGTGCCTTTGGGATTTGCATCGAGCACGATAAAGCGAGTCTGTCGTGCAACTATGCAGGCAGAGACGTATGCATTGCAGAATGGGATCGAGAGCGGAGACAAGCTCCGAGCAGTGATATGTGAGACACAGGGACGGTTGCAGAATTTGACTGGTTGGTACGAGACTATCAAGAAGTATGTCCCGCACACATACTTGAGTGATTGCAGATCACTTGTGTCCCATTTGAAGACAGAGGTTCCACCGAAGATAGCAGACAAGAGACTATCTATCGAGATAGCAGCCATCAGACAATCATTGTGGAATGAAGACGGAACGCGTACAGCAGTATCATTTCCAGAAGGAGGAGATCGGATTCGCTGGATTGCAACTGCCACAATGGTTGCGGACTGTTTCACGAAACCAATGAAGGCGGACTTCATGTGGAAGGTGATCAACACTGGAGTTTATGTGGTCGAAACAGATCCGAATGAGAAGTCGTGAGAACAATGTGACAGAGTGTCACATCCTTTTTTTTGCTGTGAAGCGGTTCAACACCTGAAAGCAGGTTGAGTGTGAATTCTCCCTGTAAATTGTATAGTTTGAAGCCAGGGTGTTGAACATGTTGTGCATGACCGGGCCATTCTGGTACGAGGGCCCTTGAGTCATAGCGCTCGAAGCGAAAAGTGAGAGCCCGATTTGCTTGCTACATTCACAGTTGTTTATGCAAGAATAGCATAAATCATTTAGGAGGGAACATGGAGGGGTTTTAATTTGTCAAAAGTGCGGAGGATGTTCTTTCCTTGGCAAGCAACCGTGAACAAGGCCCTCACAATGCAGAGCTGCCAATGGTTTTCCCAAGAAAGTGTTCTTTTCGCTGCCTCGCCTGGCAGATGGCAGAGGCTGGCAGGGAGGAAGATGTTGACATCGCCAGAGTTTTGCTATTTGTTTGCTGCAGAGCAAACCTGTTTGGCTGTTTTTTCTGCAGCGGAAAGCGCAACCGCTGGGTGAGAAGTGGCCTGACTGCGGCTCATCGGAACTCCGCGAAACTAATGCATCTCAACCCCGATGCACACCCAAAGCCAACAGCGCAATGTGCCAACAGGGCAATGTACTTTGGTTTTAATGACTTGCACCTTACAATGCTTCACCAGACTCAGCGACATGTTTGATCGTGGATACTGTAATAGCCCTTTGAGAACGGAGGACACAAGCATTGCAAGGATCCGATGCCCCAGCGGTGAAATTGAGGCGACAATTCTGGCAATCGGCAATCAGGTCAGTTTGAATACTCCCTGCAAGACCACCTAAAGGTACCCAGCCCCAAAGACACCCTTCCCGATTCCCATTGGCTCTTCCTTCTTTTCACCGCCGCAAAACGCTGCTTTGCAGACCTTGTCGGGCATAGCTGCGCGAATCCATTGGGTCACGGGACAAGGCGCCTTTGAACACTTTTGTCGCGCCACTGTGCTACCTGGATCTTGAGCTTGGAGCCACTGCCACATGGCTCAATCGATTGAATGATGAGTGTGCCCTTTTGGCGCTCTTTCCTTTCACCAGGTAAGCCATGATGTGCCCGCCGATTTTCGGGGGCGCCCTTAAAGGCCCTTAAAGGGCACTCCTGACACACCAATGTGAACACCAACGCCGAAGTTAATCTTTTGGATCGAAACTCGAAACGTCCAAATCGTTGGTTGCTCTTTTTTGCTTTTCCTTGAAGTGTTCAATTGGTTGGGCGGGTATTTCCCTCGGTTGCTTGGACCTCAGCCTTTGTTTTCCTTCCAGGTTCCCACGGCGTTTGAGGGTCCAGAAACCATCCGTTTTTGGTCTCCCTGTGTTCAAACAGCCGACCTCCAAGGAGTTGAAGGGCAAGGGCCAGGGCTCCCGGAAAAAGATGACCGCCCGGCGGCCCAAGCTGATGGATGGAAGCCAAAGGGTTCTCAGGAAGGTTCTTAGAACTTACTCCCTGAGTTCTTTGACTTTAGTCACTTTTTGGGAAGATCATGTGCGTGGTGTCTAAACACAAGCTTGGATGTTTGGCCAATCCACTCAGGAAGTGAGAGAACCTTTGCGGTCTCCTGGGCCCTTTAGACCAACTGGGTGTGTGGTTACCCTTCAAGGACCCCCCTATGATTGTATGGCAGCCATGCGGCGATTTCAGATACCTCTTCTTGGCCAGCTCCTTTCAACGACTAAAGAGAAAGCCCTTCGCAGGAAACCGGTCCTTTTTTTGGGACATATTCCAACACGAACCCGACTGTGTGAGACCCCTGGTGTAACAACCTGGGGCTGGGTTTCCGTGAGTCAAAAGGCGAAGCCCAGCGGCCGGCAGGCATCCCTTTTTGGATGGCTAAGTGGAATCAAAAGAAAGCCACCTGAACGGACAAACTCCTTTTTGAGAGTTAGCTTGCCGAATCGTGGTGTCAGACACACCGGTTTGGCATTCGAGTCGCACAACTCCGTTTGGTACGGACCAAGAGGTATGGGTTTGTGTGGGTTCGCAGTTGGTATTGTTGGCGGCTTGACGCGGAAACCAAGAGGAAAGCCGCAGTTTGAACAAAGACCCCGTGTATCAGTACGACCTGATTCCTGAATCTGCTCTTTGTCTCTCACGCAGGAAACCACGACCATACCCCAGCGAGTTTTTGACTGGCGTCCTTGAAGCTGAGGGCAAACTCACCCAAAAGGGAGGCCTAACAGCACTGGGAGTTTTCGAAAATATCTGGGGATCCTTGAAGCCTACCAACAGTGGTCCCCTATCTCGTCAAGATCCATTCGATCCATCACGAAAGAGGCGCAACAACACGGGAATGGTAGCCCTAGTTTCGAGCATTCCCCAATGCCTCCTCATGTCCTGGGGGTTTAGGAGGAAAGTTCCCTCGGCGGTGTGGTACTTGATAGATTTCGCCTGATGCGTCTCAGGTCATCCTGAGCAACATGTTCCGCTTGCTCATCCACGTCCGACCGCAGGTTAGGGAGCTTGCATATGCTGCATTGGAAGGAAGGAGTCAAGATGGGACTGCACCACCGAAGGTTTACGGGTGCAATACGAGGCGCAAACTTCATCACACACATGTTCCTGCGACTCAAGTTGGTTTCAGGCTATCCCAGCCCCATTCCGATTTTCAGGCTGGTGCACTTCCTTTTGACGCCAACTGTAATGCCATGACAGTCTGACTCCACCAGCAATTTTGACAGTACTGTGGGCCACCCCCCGCAACAAGAAGGGTGTAAATCAACCCCAGCGGTTAGATCTCGATGTTTCAAGATCTCGATCGCATGTTGAGATTTGAAACGGACGCCCGATCCGGGCCATTCGGGGCCAGGAGTTTCGCTTTTAGCGCCAGGACATTATTGCTGCCGTCTACATCTTGATCAACAAGGCCATTGGCATCTTTGATTCGAGAAAAAACTGGCCCCAGCGAGTCGAAGCATTTGGGGCTATGATCCTTTGCTGTTGGACTGCCTCCCGGCGTTCCGTGCAACTGGACAAATTGGAAGGGAGCTGCCGCTCGCTTGCTTGCTTGCTTGCTTGTTTTTTTGTTTTTGATTTGTGTTGCTGTTTTTTGTTTGTTTTTGTTTGTGTGCTTGGTGATGTTGAACGACAATACTTCAACCATATCGGATCACGCCAATCAATGTCAACCGTTTGGAGGCTTCCCCCCCATTTAAATGCACACCCATTACACTCCTGTTGTGGCAAGAGCGTTTGCTGCCAAAGGCAAGAGCCATGGGGCCATGCGTTCTACTTTGATTTGGTGTCCGGATTGATGCATCATGATCATAGGGATCTTGGTTGAGTCAACTGTCCAACGAGTTGTGCACCTTTTTGGTAGTGTTAAAGGGAAACCAAAAGGAACGCCACCATTTTGGACAAGAAGGCGCACCCACCAGAATGTATATTATTATTATTATTGTTATTATTATTATTATTATTATTATTATTATTATTATTATTATTATTATTATTATTATTATTATTATTATTATTATTATTATTATTATTATTATTATTATTATTATTATTATTATATATATATATATATATTTATGTGTATATATATATACGCATATGTCTCAAATAGGGATACCCTATCACTGCTTTTGGGGAGACTCGCGGAGGTGGCGCCCGACTACGAGGCTGCAGAGTTGGGGGTCGGGGATTCCATCATCATCAAAGCTCTGTGCGAGAACTTCGGACGGCCCTGGCCTCGGAGCCGCCAGTCGGGTCCTGTCCTCCAAATGGGTCGGTCGGGCTTTCTTGAGGAAATCCTGGTTTGTTGGGGGGTTGCTTTTAAGGGGCACTACGGGGAAAACAACTTCTTCTTTTTTTGGCGGGAGGGGGGGGAGGCAATTTTAAGACACACCCAGATCTAAGATGCTTCCGCTACCCCCAAACAGAACGTTCAGAGATAGAAGGACTTAATCTGCCCCACGGCCCACTACCCCTTCAGAGAAACCGGTGCATATATGAATGTATAATACATATACACATTGAATACACATATATACACCCTTTATCCTTTGTTCAGCCCCAAGATGGTGTCTAACCCCAAACCACCACCGGGATGCACGGGGAAACGGGGCATGTGCCCTTTGTATAGTGGCTAGTGGGTGCATATGAATCCCATTAAACTCTGGGGGATAATAGTTTGAGGGTAGCGGAAATAATCTTGGCTCAGAGAGGGAAAGAAGAGTAATCATCAGGCAAGTGGGTGGCACTGGTCACACATAACCCACTTGCGGCCGTTATAAGTTCTCGTGCAGTCGGTTATAGCCCGGGTCACCAACCACTTACTGAGTACCCTGCCTCCCAGAGCAACAACTACAGGGCATGGACGCGCCGTTTGGCACTGGGGAAGATATGAGCCACAATCCGCACCGCGTCAGTTGAAGATTCGTGAACCAATTATAAGTGGGTGTGGATATGCACCCGTGTGATTCTTCATCATGGGTGTTCGGTCGTCTTTGCCAGGTTTCGATTGTGACCCATGTGGGATGACTGGCTATGGGGAATGGTCCCGCCCATGCGTGCTCTTTTCCGTTGCAGCTTGTTTGTTTTCAGGAACGTAGGTGTGGGTGTATGTGTGATTGTGTGGGTGTGTGTGTTTGTGTTTGTGTGTGTGATTATGTCTTTGTGTCTCCGTGTCTTCACGTCTTCATGTCGTCATGTCCCTGTGTCTCTGAACCTGTGTGGCTGTGCTTGTCTGTGTGTGGAAACAGAAAGGGACAGCTTCATTGGAGCTTTCCCTTTTGGAGCATAATGGACCAACCAAGAACATGGGGTCCTGTTCTCCTGGACATCCACTGAACCCAGTGCCTCCACGACCACAATAAGTCATCAAGGCAAACCATTTAAAAGCCAAAGGTGGAACATCCCTACTATAGTGGCACGCCCAATCTAAGTGAAGAGCGCAAACAAGTGACAAACAGTCACCACATGTTGCAAGCGAAACAAGTGGACACACCATGCGGAACACAGCCACAGGTCAACCGGCGCTCTTTGGCTCTCGGGCGGGGCGGGGGGAGGGAGTGTCACGAGGTCGGAGGCCACCATTAAGCACGCCCTGGCAGTAGGAGATGCCAAGGCGGGAAGACGGTGTTCCTGTGCTTGGCTGCTTTGTGGTTGCATCTTTAGTCTTCAACTTTGGGAAAAATGACGAGTCCTTTCCGACTGGCCAGCAAAACGCAAGATCCCTCTTTTTATGCTGCGCTATTTGACGGCCCTGGGTTCTATCCAGTAGTATTTCGCCCTTGCGTTGCAACAGGCAATCTGAGGACAACCCCAGGCAGGTCCACTATGCGAACTTCGGCCTTAACGCCTTTGACTCACTTACACCAAATTGAATGTAGATTGCACAAGTCGCTTTATGTGGCAGTGGGTAAGCAGTAAAGAGGATGGCTAAACCGAAATGCGGGAATTGGCGCCATCGGCTTTGGCCCAACTGTGCTTTGGGGACACGGTTCGGCATGGACCGAACAGTCGCAGCGGTAGGACCTGGGCGAAGTTGCGCTGCAAAGTCGATTGTCAGCTGCCTCAGTGAAGCAGGGGCATGCACGCGGCGGGCTTCCTTGGGCCTTGTGTTCGATGGAAAAGCAAGGGAACAGAAGGGTTTCACGCTTCAAGCGGGGCAAAGAGCTTGTTGCGTTCCATTGCTTCGCAGTTGTTGTCCAAGTGCCGTGATCTCTTGCCTTGCTTGATAATACCGGCTTGTTGCATGCGAGCTGAAACAGTAGCTTACTTCTTGAGTTGTTATTGAGAATTTCAACAGGTGTTCATCCTCTAGCCCTCAGTTTGTTTGTACAAAAATGACACCCGCAAAGTACCCTCAAAATGGCTACCCGGGTCCTACCCCAAAAGTGATTTTGAGACCCCTCAACATGCAACCACTTTAAGGCAACCAGTTGGTGGTTGAAGAAATGCAACAGACCTGTCAGAGCTTGTGCCCCTGTTCACTGGCAGCTTGCGAGTGGGAAAGCGTTTGCGTCCGACTTCTCTCAACATGTGGAAGCCCTTCAAGTGAATGATTTCTTTGTCAAACCCTTTGTAAAGGTATACTCAACAATAAACACACACTTGCTAGATTGAGAAAGCTGCGGATTGGCAAGGAAGATCATGATGCATTGTATATGCCCGCAACTCATTTCATATCACCATTCGCCACGCTGATGGTCCGGCGAACAGCAACTGCTGCCCGTGGCACCGGAGCCTAGAGTTAGGGCGCTTTGGGAGCCCGCTGCGCTGTGCCTGCGGCACTGAGCCTGCTGCGCTTTGACACTCCGTGGCGAGATAATTGAATTGTGGTTGTGGCGGGTGATCCTGGGCACGGTTCAGGCGGAGGGGTCGGTGACCTTTTGTTCCGGTGCCTCGCCGGTTAAGCGGTCACGCCCCTCGACCTGGGCGTTTTCTCCTGGAGCTCGATCTACATCCTTGCGTATCACTTCTGGACTGAACTGAAAGGCTGGCGGAAATGGTGCATGGTCTTCTGTTTCACCGGCAGATGAGGTGGTGGGCCAGCGCGATAGACCTTGAGGCGGCATTGAAGTCTAACCTGGGACAGTTCGACAGCGAGTTGAAGAGTTCGACCCAGCAAGCTGATGGACACCAAGGCGGTGGCAGAGACGGGCAATAAGGGTGCTGTGAGAGAAGCGACGCCAGCGGATCCGTTGAGCGGCATCAAGAAGCTGATAGTGTTTTTGTCTCGGACGTCTACACGCACTCTGACTGGGTGGTGAATGTGCAGGTGGTGACAGCTCGGGAGCCTTTCCGAGCTGAAGTCGACGAGCAAGCGCGTTCGCTGATGCCGACGCGAAGGACATGCTTCGCGGCTTTCTTAGCCTTGCTCCCGTGCCTCGCGCAGCGCGGGCTGAAACACTCCACTTGCACTTCTTGAGGATGACTGGCCTTTGCCGACTCAGGTGGCATGTTGCGCGAAGTCTTTCAGGACCCCACGCCCGGGGTTTGATCCGGAGAAGCTCCCGCACAGAAGCTCTGACGCTCGCTTCGATGATGAGCCTGGACATTCTGAGTGGCGAATCCTGGAGGCCCCGTTCACTCAGCTAGGCAATCAGCAAGGCCTTCTGAGCGATCAGCCAACTGCGCTTGCAACGCTTTTCCTTGACCAGCCTCTGCAACAGGGAGAAGTATCCGCTGAGATTCCGCTGGGAAAGCTGCTTGGCAAGGCCGATCATTGTACTTGCCAAATCAAGTTCTTAAGCCATTTTTCGCCACGCTTGCGCATCAGATTGGGTCAGCTCACAGACTGCACCGCAGTAGCGGTGCATTATCCATGCGTTTGGTGGCGATCGCAGGTTTGTGGTTGTGTTTTGTTTTTTGTGTGTATGTGTGTGGTCGCTGTTGCGTGGCGCCGGTTCGTCGTTTGGTTTTTGTTTGGTGCTTGTGTGCTTGCTTGCTCGCAGGCTTGCTGGCTCGCTTCTTGCTTTTTCGTTTTCTTGCTTGCTTGCTTGTTTGCTCGCTGGCTTTCTTGCTTGCTTCCTCTCTCGCTCGGTCGCTCGCTCGCTTGCTTGCGTCTGTACATTGTGTTGGTGCGAGTGTGTCAAGTTTCATTGCGTCACTGCTGTGCACACCGCGGTGTGCTGCAGATCGCACGCCTTTCAAGTGTGAAATGGCTCGACGAGAGCCGACAGCAGGATTGGGCAATTTTTTAGAACCAGGCCCTGGCTGAACATGAGCCTGACCCACAATCAACATCAATCAACCATGAGCTCCATCCAATACAGGCGCAGTGGCATGAAGGCTAGACTTCGACACGTGAACACGCAGACCTCAAATATTCCTGCGCAAAGAGGCAGTTCACACAGATAAGCAAGGATTAACCAATGATATTCCAACTCAATGGATCGTGCTCAAGCCAAGTTTTAGCTTCACTCCGTCTGGGAACAGTAGGCCCGGTAGGCCATTCGAGGAAGAAGGGTGAGAGAAGTCCATGCTTGTTGCTCCACAGTAGAATTTGTAGGAAGCTCACCTGGGGTCACCTGCGATGAGGATTGCGTCCATTTTGTCCAGCCCTTGTGCCCAGATCCCACTTGGTGTTCTCTTAGACAAGGGACCCTGCCAAGCCTAAAGTCGCGTATGTCCATTTGGTTTTCCTTTTTGACCCTTGCAACTTACAACGCGAACACCCCACGCGTTTGTGTGCATCATGGCTGTGGACACCCTGTTTGCCCACGAGTACCGGAGCCGACTGCTGCAAAGAGCGCCGCTGCTGCGGCGTTGGCTGCACCAGGTGCGGATGCGCAAAGCTTTGTTTGTGGGATTCCCAATCATGTGTTGTCTGTTTCCTGATGGTTTTTGGAAGTATTACTTCTTTTCGGGGCACCCAGAGTTTTTTCTTCGGGGGAACCTACTTTTCTGTGGCTCACTGCCTTAAAGGGAACATTGTAGGGTTGTTGAAATTGTTTTTTTGGCGCGGTTTCTTTTAAACCACCATTTATTTTGAGGATGTGACTTTCATGGACCCCGTGGTTTGCTATTCATGCATCTCTCAGCCATTGCGGGTCTTCTGAAATTCAAAGTTGGTGGACTGGAAAGAATGGGGACGTTTCCCCGTTTCCCCCAGGACTTTTTGGCATACCCTCGTTGGCGCAGGGTCTCCTCAATTTCCCACAGTTCAGCCACCAAGATTCACAGTTCCTAATTGGGGGGGCGCCCCAAGCCCTAAGTTTTGAGCTACCCATAGAAAAGCTAAAGGAAGTCATAGTAATAGGTACCATTAAAAAGAAAAACTTGAAAAGAACAAAAAACAAAACATAGAACAAGCAGATAAAACAAAACAACATCATTGTTACCCTCTGCAAAACAACATAAATCAAGCTCGCAGCGCAGGTGCGCGCTAATGGCGCGGGGGTCGGACTCCTATGGCTCCGAGCCTGGCAATTGGAATCGAGCCCAGTGAGGGGTCACTGGGGGTTCCCAGTGAGTTCCACAAAAAAAAGGAGTGCCTTTTTTTTGGTGACCCATGGGGTGGTGGGGGGCGGCGATTGGCACATGGCACATGGAAGCGGAGTAGTATCGATCTGGTTACAGCTAACTGAACGTGGACTTGCAGCAAGTGCAACTGACTGAGTTTCTGCTGGGTGGGGTCAAGTTTCAGGGGCAAGCACGGGGAACCCTGTGATAGCGGATCGGGCGAAATGTCCCTTCGATTCTTTGACAAGTCAGGGGATTGGACTTGCTCCTGTTCAAGACTCCTCCGATCCTACGAATGTTGTCCGACAAAAGGGTTATTCACCATCCATGTTCAGCACTTGGTGTTGTGGTTGTGAACAATATGGTTTATTTGTAGCTTCTGTGGTACCAAGGAAACCCCCTTGATTGTGACAAAGCAGTGTTGGTAGTTATCCGCTTGGTATTGCAAGTGTGGTTTTCAACAGCCATGCTCAGTGTAGGATTTTGCTTGGAGGCTTGGAGGGGGGGATTTTGTTTCGAGGGTTTTCGATTTTCTTGCCAGCTGGGTAGACGAGAGCTTGCTTTTCGAGGTGGATACAACATTTACCAGGCGGGCACGTGATTTATCCGGATGATTTCATCAAGTTTATGCGGACTCGAGGAGAGTTCAAAACAAGGACCTGGCCATCAACCTGGAAACAAAACATGGCGAGTTGATGCGAGTTGGAGGTAAAAGGAGCTCAGACTTGAAGGTCCACTTCTGGATTCTGCCCAGATCTCGGGGGGAGGCGTCATTTGTTTAAGGGAACCCTCTTCATATTTGGAGCTACTGAGTTCATTCCGGGTCGCAGCGCTCCGAGGTTCCTCTTGGTGCTTTTCGGCTTCAGAACTTCCCGGCAGGCGGGCCCCCTTCAACGGGAAAGCGTGAGCTTGTTACAGTTTGCTTGGACCAACTTGCTCTTGAAGCCTGTTTTACTATTCTCGGGGGTTGGCCCCATGTAACCCCTCCCCCTTTAAAGCAAACCAAAAGGCCCTACGCTTGTTTAAACAACATTTTTTACTCACTTGCCCAAAGCGAATCGGCCTTGTAACCTCTTGGTTTCCCTGAGTTGGTCCATAAGAACTCAATTTTACCAAGCGGTTACCCTCGACTTTCCCGGTCCTCGCGTTTTTGTTTTTTCCGCCATGAATTTCCAGCCCAGGCGGTGCAGCGAGCGATCACGGAGACCACCCGTCTCGCGGAAGCGCCGCTGCGCCGGGTCGGCAGCTCCTTCTCCCGGCGCCTGGCGGCGCTGTCGTCCAATGGCTCACGCAGCGATCTACAGGCGCCACGGCTGGGGGGCGGGTTGTGCCTAGTTGTTGCAGCCCGCGAATTCTGAGCAAAACCAAAGCAACAGACTATAAGGAGGTTGCAAAACAGACGCCAAGTGTCCGTTATGCGGCAGGTTGGGCGTGATTTTCTCAATTGGTTTAACACTGTATGCAGCTTTTCAGGTGCTGGGGGATTTGAATCCTAGGATCCGTGTCATGGGTGTCCTTTTAAGGTCAATTTGGTTGACAATAGATGGGTTCCACTGGTTTCAATTTGGTTCTGGGAGTTTATCAGTGCCATTTGTTTGTCTCATTGTGCT